GCGCGAGCAAGCCACCGTCCTTTGCCCACGATTGCGCGAGGCTCACGGCAGACACTGTCGTCCACGGCGTTTAAATTCTCATGTAATAAATCCTAAATCGGAATGGAGTTTAATTTGCCTCGGTCAGGATAGAACAAAGTCATTTCCATTATTCCGAAGGTTCATTTATAGTAGACAAATCGCCGAGTAGGCGTCAAAAGGCCTCAGTGCTACCAAATTGCCGGCTGTTGATAAAAACGCGATGTCTGTCAGCAGTGGATACAAACAGTGTTCATTCAGACCATCCTATCGACTGCTCTCGAAAGACATAATTATCATCTGGTCGACACATACACACGACGCGGCAGTTCAACAGTCGCACACAAGGGCGCATTTCGCATTTTTTGAAAATATCTTTTTAATATGTCATATCTACCGGATATTTCACATCAAGACCGCTACAGACGAGGACATTTCCGTAGTTGGTGACGAGTCTACGAGCCAGGTCAGCTTCAAAATGCGCCGATGGATTCCTGAAGAGGAAACTACGTTGGCGGAAGCCAGGGCCTTCGCCCCTCGTCCAACACTTCGGATTTATGCTCCGACCCACACCCAGCAAACGGAATTTTTAAACAAATTGTGCCTGCAGTATTCACAGACCGTAGTTACTAGGCCAACACAAGCATTTTACTACTGACATGTATGAGAGGTGTTCGTCGTTTGGCCGATGATTTCATGGGTAATCATGTCCGAGTCATTTACGTTTCGGGTTTCGTTGAAAGTAAGCGGTGGTTGGCTTTTTGATTTCTATAATGTGACCTACCTCCCGTAAGCAGCCCGGGAAGATTTTGGGTAAATTTCATTCACCAATCTCACTAGCCCTCGACTTGTGTTGACTTACCACTTGAATTCATAGGTTAATTTACTGTTACGCACATTTAATGAGCATAACTGAGACGTAGGCTACAGAGTGTGTCTAATTGTAGCGATTTTTCTGATGTTTTTCAGAAGAATCGCTAAGGCAATCCAGAAGAGGGTTATCAATTCTTGGTTTAAGTCTTTCCAATCTCATAACATTTTCCGCCGGTCTGCCATTTTAAATTATGCTGTACGGCATTGAGGCAAGCTTGACAATACAACTTGAAGAAGTTCAGCATCCCCTTCTCGCTTCTAAGACCTGATGTCCTGAGGCTTCTTGAGTTGATTGTACCTAGTAAAGCAGAAACCAGAATATAGCATATTTCTGAGCCCATATTTTTAATGGAATAATCAGCGAATTGTGAATCAGTAGTCAATTACGTGTACGTCTTTCTAGCTGCGATCATACCTGTTCTAGCTGGTCTGGATGATTTCGCAAACTGTACCTTTTTGCACGTGGAGTTTTGTGACGGTAGATCTGGAGAGCCCGGCCCATTCCCTCCAACAGCGACGGAGACCGAATGATGGTTCGAGCGTCTCCAAAGACGATGTCCCAGTGTGCTCCACACCGTGCTGGGCACAGGAGTGTGCCTTGCGTGTGAATTAGTTTGTAGCTATAGCAGACTTGCGCAGCATCTACCGCACTCCCTCCTCCCCCATCCACTTGCGAGTTTAGGCGCAGAGGCTAACAAAGCTGAACAGCCTCCCTTCGCTTGCCCCACACGACCTGGTTCCCGCACAATGTGGCAGGTTTGCAGACACGACAGTTCGGCCGTCGTTGCCGACGATGTCCACCGCGGCCTCCACAGCAAGGTGAAGCAGGGATGGTGGCTTGCGCAGCATCTACCGCACTCTCTCCTCCCTCACCTGAATCCGGTGTCAGGACAGAGTCAAGACGACCGGAGGCGGAGGAGGTCTCAGGTGGATTGCGCGGCCAAACCCGCACCAATAGGGAAAGTCGCAGGGGTCGCAATGTACGCGTCGTCCGCCGGCAACTGGGTCTGCAACCGCACCCCGAGATGTTGGTCCTCGTAATGGGTGCGCATTCCGATAACTCCTACCAGGATCCCATATGGCCCCCCTGTTGGTTCAGCGCATTTACCACGTGGCCCATTTGGGGGGGGGGCGGTTTGCACACATCCTCATCCATCTGAGGGTTTGGGTGCCTGGGCTAACAAAGCTAATCCGCTTGTACCCATGACCTGGTTCTCACACAGTGTGCCAAGTTTGCACACAAAGGGGTCAGCTCGGATCTCATGTGTGCGAGAGTGCGTTAATGCCATTGAGCCTGACTCTCAATCCTCGACCCACTTACCCCACACATGCGCAACACTGGTCGCGCGGCACGAGTTACCCCGTCAATCGGCAGCCTTTGAAGCCACGAGAGGGATCACCCCAACCACATCCACACTTAAAACATGACGCTTCTTGCGCCGTTACTAGTACTCGGTGGAAACCGACATATCTTACTCGTTCCGATGGCAACATACTGTCGCACGCACGAGTACCCTGCGCGTGCTGACTACTCCCTCCCTGCCTTACAGTCTGAGACAGCATACACCCACGAGTACTGCAAACTGCATATTTCATAATCTGCAAATAATAGAGGGTAAATCTTCTTGATATACTAAGATATCGGGTCTCTAGGATATACGCATAATGTTGTGGCCACGAGAACCAAGTTAGCCCGTCAGTCGACAAACTTCTAAACTACGAATTTTAACAAGTCGTGATAGATTCAAAGACGTCTGGTTCATAACAGTAAGAAATGCGCCCATTTGCCTCGTGAGTGGATTCCCAAGAGTCGACCTCATTCTCTCTTCTATCTCCTGCACACCAGCCGACGGTCCATCAGGATCGGGCTTAGCAACTGACACAGCTACAGTAGTCCGCCTATTTGTGTCAAACACGACCTCCTAACAAATTTAGGTACCAGGATACAGCAGGAACACGCCCCCACTTGTTTGACGCATGTTCTGGGCAGGTGGTTAGTGATGTTGCTTGAGTTTATTTCTGGTCTGGGAGGGGGCGGGACAAGATGCGGTAACGAGCCCTGGATTGCAGTGTTTTATCCCAGAATCACGTATAGGTGCATACGCCCGAGTACGTTCATGCGATGGATGAATGTCATTGGGCAAATGAAGCGGGTACGTCAAATGTAATGTAGGACACTTTGCAATGATTCACCAGTCGCACTGCAATGGATTCACAGGTGACTGATCAGGCGAATGTGTATTGTAAATATGCGTTCACAGTGAGGATTGCCTGGGATACAGTCCGCAATGCTAGCGCAAAGGGCGTTCGTGATAGCGGTGGCGGTGATGATGGGAGTTGCAGTGAGTGGCAAGACGTGAGGAGTGTTCATACCGCTGGGGGGGGGTAATGGTGGTGGTCGTCGTCGCCGCCGCCGCCGCCACCGCCGCCGCCGCCGCCACCGCCGCCGCCGCCACCGTCGCTGCTGTTAGCACTAGACCTATGATATTGTTGCTGAAGGTAGTGGTGGGCGACAGCACTTGTTAGCTAGTGCTGGTGGTGGTGGTGATTGTCGTCGAAGACTTCGCGGGGGGATTCGGTAGGGTAGATCGATTTCTGTTGACCTCCGCCTCGACGCCTCCAGGTAGGCAACTATGTCCTATCGAGAGCAGTGACACGGAGCTCATGAGGCGGGTAAAGACGAAGGACGTGTCAAAACCAGACAAGTCGTCTTTCGTGGATAGCCTGAGATATCCTCTCGATGTTGTCACAACGAGCGCGTATTGCATCATTTGATGCGAAGTCTCAGCCCTCCACTCGAAGGATGGTTTTCAGGTAAAGGTACACAGTTGCCTTCAGTTTACTATCGTCGTTTACGCGCTTGGCCCACTGTTCGCAACCGTATAGGGTGATTGACTGGATCGATACATGATGCACGGGAATCTTTATGCCGATGTTTATATCGTGGAGGGTCCATCAACACTTTCTAGCATCGGGATGACGCAGACAAACTGACTCTAACACAGTATTTGACACCCTAAATCAATAAAATATACCTGACACACCGTCGAACAATTCAGAGGCACAAAAGTCGTCATCAGGGAGGTTTCTAACTGACAGAAAATCTCGGTGCGCCTCGGAAGGGAGGATCAGACTACAGCAGCTTTCTTCTCACGCCATGCGTAGGGATAATCGTGTGTGCGGCACCTGCGACCGCTAATGTAACTACGTGAACCCATCATCTACGACCATTTGCAGTCGCTTTTAATTTGTCCTGCTATTAATTCGTGATGGTTACTTAGTTCGTTTGAGAGAGATGGAGCCGATGTGTCCCTTTACTCATTAGCCTATCTGCTGGCTACCCAATGCGCTCATGACTTGCGGGTGGCGGAACGACCACTAGTGAAGACTGTTTGAGAATAAACAGCCACAGACCTGTGACAACGGCGACGAGACTAGTCCTGGCACGCCGCCAGATGATGGCTCCGCAGCAAAGCAGTCTTGAACCGCCAACGCACAAGTACGCACGCCACAGCTGGACCATACACCGCTGACAACCAAGACACGCCCCTGCCTATGCTTTCAGGTTCTAGTGCATCCCAGGTCCATCGAAGCTCTCGGAAACCAGTTTATCGATTGCTCGACTCCCACGGTGAGAAAGAATGTGTAGGGTGGAGAAAACCTCGTGAAAACGATATGGCGGCACACAGAGACGGTAGGAGGTGGTGCAGACGTCGAATAGGATGGCACCGTCTCGAGTAGTTGGAGGTAGGTCCTAGAGTTGGGGTCCATAAACGTCCTTATCACGGGCCGAACCAACACGGTGTTGTTCGGCAGCCATCTCAATGAGATCTATACCGACAGAACGCTGGAGATGAGCGATTCACAACCTTGACAGTGCGTTAGCAGCCTCATTTCATGACCCGTCGATGTGGCGGACATTTGAGGTGGACTGGGAGATATAGTCCGGTTGGCGGATCTCCCAGGGGGTTGAGTTTATCAGAAGTCGGCTTAAGATCAAGGGAAAGAAGTTGGTGATCCATGGACACATTGAAGTCCTTGCACTCAGGGGAGTGTCGGAAGTGTCTCGCGGCTAGGTTTACGGCAAGAAGCTGCCGTCCAAATGTGCTCTAATGCAATTCGACAGGTGACACCTTTCTGGAGGAGAGCGCTAGGAGTTGGAACTCACCTGCGAAGTGCTGCCTGAGAACCACGTCGACTGCCATATTGGAGGCCCCAACCGAGAGGGAAATAGGAACGTCGGATGCAGACTGCGTCAGGAGGATGTCATCGGCCAGGGCAGCCTCCATCTTGTAAAAAGCAACAAGGACAGATGGGGACAACTCGAACGAATCTTCGGCGCCCGAGAGGAGATTCATGAGCGGCAGAATGGCGCTGGTACAGTTCTGGAAGAACCGGCGGTAGAAATTAACAATGCCAAGAAAGCACAACGGTTGACGCTTGGAACTGGGAGACGACACTTCACGGATGACCGCGACCTCTACATGAAGAGGGTAAATGCCGTTTGAGTCAACCAGGTGTTCAACATATTCGAGGAGGGGAAGCCGCAAACACACAGTGGCGGGTTGGCAACAACGCCAAATTGTTGAAAGTGGCCAAATACTGTTGGGAGACGCTCCATGTGTTATTTGGGGGAGGAGCTGGCCAGTAACAGGTCGTCAACAAGGAAGCTGACAGAGTGTAGGCCATGGAGCACTCTTTGAACAAATCTCTGAACTTGCCGAGCAGGGCACTGGCAGAGTCCTGAAGATGTGGAACAGGGAAGCGATCCGGGATGATGATGATGATGATGATGATGATGATGATGATGTCTAAGGCCCATCAGTCAACGCAGGGACGTCGGTCGCCAGTGGCAGCCTTGGGAACCAAATGCAGAGGCCAGGCTCAAGGGCTTTCAGACTGACAAATGATGCCCATCTGCAGAAGCTTGGACTCGGCCTTTGCGGCAGCAAGACGTACAGGCACGAAACGGCGGAGCCAAGGAAAGACAGGAGGGTCAGTGCTTCAGATGTGATGAACAATGTCGTGCGCTGGAGCAGAGAAGTTGAAGTTTGGTAGGAGTGAAGCCAGAATACTTGTCGAGGAGCTGAGATGCAAGCCTGTGGGAAGTCTTGAAGGAAGAAATACCCCGGAAGTTGGGCTTAATGGTGTGTTTGTGTGGAGAGGGCGAAAGGCAGCCGCCCAAGATAGAAACCGACGTAGTCGTCTGAACCGCACAGGAGACACCAGCATCAACAGAGATCCAGGGGAAGAGACGCCGGAGGAGGAGGAGGAGGAGGAGGAGGAGGAGGAGGAGGAGGAGCAGGTACGGAAAGTTGCAGTTGGCTAGGTGTATGCAACCTGAGGAAGGAGGCTGCTGTGAAAGGGGTGACACGCGGTTGAGCATCAAACAGGAATCATCTGCCACTCTGGTTGTCTCAAAAGTAAAAGATCGGCCTGGGTCAGAAATGCTAGGAGTATCGGTCACACTAACATTCGGGCCGACCTGTTTTACCCGTTCGTTCCGATTGGAGGTAAGAGAACAGGAGAGATGCAGCAACCCGCTTTGGCAACAAAAGTAATGGGATACCTGTAGATGGCAAAAGTGTTGGAACAAGACGAAATGTAGACTGGACATGTTGGGCAGATGAATTTGACGGACTCCGGGATGATAAGCAGACTGTCTGTTTTTTAAGAGAAGTCATACCGTAGGCAGAATTCGCAATCTCAGACTTCAGGTACCGGAGGGAATACTCGGGAGAACCCTAAGTGGTAGAGGGGACGAGAAGTGATTGCTTGGGAGAACCATGCGTCTCCTTAAGCCGTTTGGCCATCTGAGTAAGTTGTGCGGCCGAAAGAATGCCGGATGTTGGTGCCAAAATATGCGACAATTTCGGCAGAAAGTTGTTTTCTATCAACACCTGACTGTATCATAGATCTGGAAGGAGGAAGATGGCCGTTCGTAAGGAGTCATCAAATATCGAGATGGAGAGCAGACCCGAGAGTATCCAGTGGTCGACAGAGCGGAGATTTCCAAATCACAAGTCAAGGACGGCGGATTCTACTGGCCAAGCTTTAGTGACGTGAAAGAGCGTACCGGAGGCTCAGCATGCAATTGCCGCAATCTGTCTCTTTCGGCATGTTACTGTGCCCCTGTCCGCCGATGAGGTTCTTACCCGCCAGCACGGTGTGTGAGTCCTCGCTCTGTGTGATCATTGTCCGCCCACAGCCAATCATCGAGGGAGCAGCACTGGTTGACCTTGAGCTCGCGCAAGGCTGGTACCAAGCCTCATGAGGTCCCAGCAGCGAATTGACAGGGAGGGCGACAAATCGGAAGCAATCGAAGGAGCAAGCGGCCAAATTGCCACTCGATCGAAACCGAATTTCGGCGAAATTTGCATTGCTAGGGGGATTAAGGACCTAATCATAGAGGCGGATTCCCATGACGTTACTGCTCTTCACGCAGACATTTTCGTGTTAGCTTTAGGATGCATCTCAGCTCCATGCTCACGAACTAATACAAGCGGCTCACATTCCTTCTTTGCGAGTCGAACTTATGTTTTTTGGTCCTTCTTACTGCTTAAACATCTCCTAGCCTCACAACTTCTCTGAGGAATTATGCATATACCGGTCAAGTGAAGATGAAGCAAGCAAATATGATGGGATTTGTTTGGTCAGCAAGAATATTGGAGTTTCCAGTGGTCAAAAGCGCAATTCATGACCAGAACGTAAATATTTTCCGGTTATTTCTGTCTAAACCTTCGTGGATAGTGCGCTCTTGTTGTTCAGTTTCGATTCGGGAATTTGATCATGGAGAGCTGTCAGAGAAGGATCAGTGAGGCCTGCGACCAGTTTATAATAAAACCTTCTACTGAAATGCTCCTCGTCGCGTTTTTAGCCCTTTCAGTGTCCCTGACTGGAGGAAGAGAGACAACCAGTTCGGGGTACGATCTGTGCAACGAATTCATGGCTACCAGTAAACCACAACAGTCTACTGTATTGCTTCGGTGCGGCGTTCTGTGTCGCTAGTTTTGGATCACTGTGACGGATACTGAAATTAGACAGAATGCTGCCACAATCCATCACCTGGGCGAATGTTTTCTATCATGCCAGCACTGCGCGTAATGATCTGTCCATCTTGTTCGGCATTCGGTCTGGTGTGGAACAAGGTCAAAACGTGCACATTATCTTGTTTGCATGCATCGTTGCCTGGGGTTCTGTAAGGTATCTGTTATTTTGAGTTTGCGAATTGGCCTCAGTGCAAAGACGGTCCTGAACTCTAGTAAGCACACCATCCGGATAACATAAATATATGTTGACTCACAGAATGCTGTATTGCGGATACATTAGGCCCCTAAATCAACTGGATTCTCCATCAATGCTGAGAAGCCCGGATTGTTCATAAGACAAATCTGACCAAATCTACCTCTGTCTGGCAATCGAGGTCTGTCCTCGCCGTTCATCTGAGTCCTTATACGGCTTTCACAGACTTAATCAATTAGCGAATATCGAGCGCAAATCCGTCACCTATACTTCTATTCCTGCCCATGGGTTTGTCGTTGAAAATGCACACGACAGGCCATTTCACAATCAACACAGGCTTCCATCGGTTTCCAGGTAGTTTGGCCTTGTCTGACAGAACTGCCACACTTCCTTTACCAATGAAAGCATTCAATCCTTGCATCACGGCGAAAAGTAACAGATTCCTGCCTAACCATTCGACACCGTTGCTGCGCAAACTGGCGTTCGATTCATTTCGCACAATATTCGCTCGCTGTAATCTGCCAATCAGGACCTGGAGGTTTTCAGTGCGTGCATGCGATCGTAAACTGTGATGACACAATAAAAAGCAACGATCACGGTCTTACATCGCTCCTGCTCCGATTACAATCTAACATGGCGTTCCCACAGGCAACATTATTCGAAGACGAATTTCCGCTGGTTCGCAGTTGTCCTACACTCAACGAAATTCGTATTGCCGAGGAGATTAAAGACCTCACCATTGAGGTAGCTCCCCTCATCACAGTGACATGTGCGCGTTAGGTGAAAGATGGTGCACTGCTCCACGCACACAGAATAATACTTGCAGCTCGCATTCCCTCTTTGCGAGCATCTCTGAG